ATATATATATATATATATATATATATACACACAAAATATTTTTACACAATCCGAACAAATTGCAATTATATCATAGTATTTGATATACTTTAACACGTCCGATTTCCAAAGTAACATTCTCGTTCATTCGTGCATTGTCCATTTCCATAAGGTCTAGTTGTCTACGCTGTTCTTCAACTTGTTGCTGGGCCTAAGATTATATTGATTATATTGATTTCATTTTTATAATCGCTTACACTTGAGAAAAAATATCGAATATAATTTATTCAGATGATCGCAACGATAACAACTTGCAAATATTTATTGCGATAATCTTCCAGTTGAGCAGCTTGATCTTGGATCAAAGAACGAAGTTCCTCTAATTCATCTTGCGCTTCTCGAAAGCGTTGCTTCGCTACTATCAGAGCTTGTTCCTGTTCGATGAGATGTTCCTTATGACCTGTCTCGAAATTAATATGCTTTTTGTTATATACATTAAATCAGAGTTTTACATCATAGTTGTTATTTCTATAGTGAATTACCTTCAAATTTTCCCTTCTCTGTTTCTAGAAATTTTAATCGTTCTTGAACGTCTATCAGTTTTATCTCCATTCGTTCCTTCTCTTCTTTTGCATCGCGCAAATCTTGTTTGAATTTCTCTGCTTCTGTCCTCATACATGATACCTCACACAACTTACTTTTATAATCATCTTGAAGTCGGGCGTATTGTTCACGAAGATCGCGTAATTGTTGAACGCAAGTACTAGTGCCCTTCGGTCATAAGTTATATTATTATGATTATACAATTAAATTTGCTTATAACCTTACCATAGTAGCGTTTGTACAAGAACCAGTGCACATTGGAGGTGCAGTCTGCGTAGTTGTCTATATTTGATAAAAAATATATTACTCTTTACTCGCTAGTTATATCAATTTTATAAAGTATAAATAGCGAAAACAAATAGCACGATTTAATTATGGAAGATAGGATATAAAAATTATATTAAAAAGAAGTATGCACGTAAAAACTTATATATTGTTTGAGATGAATGATATTTGAAAAATTTGGTTAAAATATAAATCGTACAGGTAGGGTAAGAGGCATCGCAGACATTGCAGGTACTTTGGAAATTCCCATTAACGGAAGTCCTGACGTGGGTGTCGCACATGTCGAAGTCGGAGGTGGGCAACAAGCGCACTGTGCACACGGTGCTGTGCATTTGAGCAATTTACGTTGCTGTTCCAATTGTTGTCGTTCCCGCTGCACATTTGCTAATTCCATCTGCATGTTACGTACCTCAGTCTCCATACTACCTAATTGTTGTTCCTGGAATAAAATTTGGCACCAACATTACATTCCATGAATTTCATCAATTAGTTTTTTAACTAATTTTTCACAGAATATCAGATATAGAATTTATTATATATATTATATATGTTTTATCATTTCATATAATTAATGTATGAACAACAAATAAAGGATTAGTTTTGATTAGTTTTAAAACAGAAATGTATGGAATAAAAATTGTTATCTCTTTTTACTGTTTATATTTATCAAACTGTATATACGGAATGTAAAGATTACAGCTTAAAAAAAATTTTTTAATTATTTTTTACATTGTTCTCAATTTTTACTATTGTAGAAAGGATTGCGTTTTTCTCAAACACGTTTTAAAACTTACTAATTGTTTAGTACTATTGCCATATGTTGCAAATTTATTTTCCAATTCTGCAGGACATGTTCCCCGAGAAAGCAATGGTTTAACAACAGCTGGACCTCGGCAACACATCTCTACGTTTTGCAAATCGTTGCTATCTGCGAGATAACGTTCTTCTGATGGCGATCCACCTCCTGTAAGCCTCGGCGAATCTGCGAGATTAAACATTCTTTTTTTTTTTATAGAAAAATTTATCGCCTTTGCAAACCATTCTTTTAACAAATATGCAAAATATCTTGCTTCTATTACATTATTTCTTAATGGTTGAACTATCATATTCTGTCAATTATTCGTCTTACTGCATACAGTTTCCGTAGTTGGTGATAATGTGTCAGTATATGGCGATCGCAAACAGCATTTGCATCGGTAGTAAACGTCGTCTCGAGGTTGCGCGCTGACATGCGGACGCGAAGATAATGTCGGCGAGGTTGATGGAGAAGACGGCGTAACACCTGGGCAGGTGTAACAGCAAGTAGGTCTAATCACTAGTTGATTTAAAGTAGCCAATTGGCGACTCAACTCCATATTTTCTTTGACAATTATACGCATTTCTGCTTGCAGGCCGCATACCTTCTTCTGTAAACTTTCGAGAGCTGTATCTTTTTCTAGCAACGCTTCTTCTAGTTTGTACCTATTTTGCAGGACACCACAGCTTTCAATGCAATCTTCATTTTTCGCTTTTTATTTTAATATATCAGAATATATTAAAGTGAGACGAATATAAAAAGATTATTTAAAATTAAGATTAAGATGTTATAAAACTTTCGCGAACGAAACAATCATTAACGTGAACATTTCATTCATTGTTATGATATCAGTATATCATAACAAACTGGATTACGTATATATAAGTGACGTATGATTGACATGCTTCAAATTGCTGAAAACATCGTGAAATCGTCACCGAGGGAACCGTTTAATTTTCATTTGATCGTCTATTATTTGTCATATAAATAAAGTAACTATCGGGTATTAAATTTTTTTTGCATTATATCGAGTGTCCTGAAAAAGTCAATTGATACATTTGTTTCTGTTTATCTTATTTAAAGCTATAATTATTTTAACTTTAGTTTAAAATATTAAGTTAGTTTGTTTTCTTAAAATATATAGACATGAAAAGCAAATCTAAATTTAACTCTTAATATATACTTTATACTATTTTATAATCAGATGTATAGTTATAACATTAATTAAACAAATATTAGATATTCCTTGAAAAATTTTTATATATGTAGACGTAATTTTTATAATGTTATAAATAATAATGTTATAAATAATATAATGTTATAAATAAAATTAAATATAATTCATTTACTTTATTTATATATAGAATATAGATTTAGAATTTATTAATGCAAAAGACAAGCGTACTTTCCACCTTCCAATTGCGCGTTTTCTTTGACCAATTTTTCCTGCATCGTTAAAGACTCGGTTAGCTTGCCGGTTAATTTTTCAAAACACTTTTCCCTTCCCTTCCGTTCGGTATCCGCTACTACGAGTTTTGGAAGTACGTCCGCGTAACCACAAACAATTACTCTTGGAAGCCTAATAAGAATATATGATCGAGAACATGGTGGAAATATACAAGGTGAGCCATTCCCATGGTTGCACAATAGCAGCGTAAATTTTGGATAAAATTTGATTGGCTGTTCCAGTATATCAACTATTATATACGCAAGAAATTGCATATTAGGTAACATTTGATTGATTATTTCCAGTATCGCCATTGTACGCAATGTTTCACCTTGTGTATTTCCACCATGATCGAGAATATCTTGATTGACTAGCAGCATTTTGTATGAATAAAATATAACTTACTTATCTTCAGGATATTGTATTTGCGGTATCTCGAAGTGATCTTCTTCTAAAATTTTTTTGAATGGTTCTATGTCTCTTTTTTTTATCTCAGTTTCTTTTTCCACTTTACGAAGCTGTTTTACTTCCTCTCGCGCCTGCAATATATTTATCGCATTGTATTTTTAACAATTAGCAATATATTATTTTATTTATTTTATTTTATTGACACGCATTATTGTAGAATTCTAGCAGAAGCTTATTGCAAAGATATGATTACATGTAAAATATAAGTAGGAATTTTTATAAGTAGAAATTTAAGTAGGATTATATATATTAGGTGTGGCGTTTTTTTAATGTCATCTAACGGGAAAAACGCCACGAACTTTTTCTCACACCTAATATATGTATATATCCCTTCTTGGCTGTAATATACGCTGAAGTAAAAAATAAAATTCTATTCTATTCTATTCTATTCTATATATATGTATATAATACAATATATCTTTTAAATATTTTCATAATACGTATACTTTTTGAATATTTTGTGTTAATTGCTCCAGTTCCGCTACTTTTGAAGTGAGAATGTTTTGCTTCTCTTGAAGCGCTAGCTTATCCTCTTCTGTTAATTCGGATTTCTGATTAAGAAATATATTATTATAAATTATAATTATCACATTAATAAAGTTATATTAAATAAATTAATAATAAAACCTCTGATTACCTCTGACAATTCAAAAATTTCACGCTTTAATTGTTCGACTTCATCTGTTAGCAGAATAAATCTCTCATTCATCACTTTTACTTCTGTGATTATATCATCAGTTTTAACAGGTGCGCTTATTATTGATTTTTCAAATTCCTCAAGTATTATCATTTTACCTACACTTTAAAAATTTACATGTAATAATTTGAAAATAAAAGAGTGAAAGAAAGAGAGAAAGAGAAAGAAAAAAGAAATGAGATGTTATTAATTAGATGTTATTAATTTATATCATTTGTGTTATTAATTTTAAATAATTGAAATATAAATCTTCCATCAAATAAAATATAAAACAGAGATTTTTCTGATAAATTATTTCTATCTTTAATATTTGTTTTATTGTCATGTTATTTTTACCAAATTCAATTTTTTCATCAGCTTTTTCTTCTTTGATCTCAATTTCGATTTCAATTTCTTCAATTTTAAAATCTTCAATTTCTTCAATTTTAAAATCTTCAATTTCTTTAATTTCAAAATCTTCAATTTCTTTAATTTTAAAATCTTTTAATTCAATTCTATCAATTTCAATTCCTTCAACTTTATCATCAATTTTATTTATATATTTCTTAACTTCGTCTTTGCCATTAGTTTCATCTTTATTCTTAGCTTCGCTTTCTCGCTCATCTTCATCAATAGTCTTTTCTTTAGTTTCAATTTGTTGTTCCTTAAGATCTTCTAGATCCTTAAGAGCTGCAGCTCCTTTGTCTACGGTAGTATTTTTTAGATCCTTAAGAGCTGCAGCTCTTTTGTCTACGGTAGTATTTTTTAGATCCTTAAGAGCTGCAGCTCCTTTGTCTACGGTAGTATTTTTTAGATCCTTAAGAGCTGCAGCTTCTTTGTCTACGGTAGTATCTTTTAGATCCTTAAGAGCTGCAGCTCCTTTGTCTACGGTAGTATTTTTTAGATCCTTGAGAGCTGCAGCTCCTTTGTCTACGGTAGTATCTTCTAGATCCTTAAGAGCTGCAGATCCTTTGTCTACGGTAGTATCTTCTAGATCCTTAAGAGCTGCAGATCCTTTGTCTACGCTAGTATTGTCTTCAACTGTATTTGCTTTCTTTTCTTTCTTTTTTACCTCACAGATTGGTTTCTTCCTTTCAGCCATATTTCTACATACGCATGTTATTATATTTTATGATATTACTGGATATAACATATAAAAATACTACGCAAACAAAGAAATGATTACACTGAGCGATTTTGTTGATAGTGAATCAAATCATTTAATTGCAATTCCACGGATTTTGAGACTTCTAACAGGAATTCGTTTTCTATGTTTTTCTTTATTTGATTATTTGTATTTTGTTTAACTTTTACTCTGTCATGTTTTTCATACTGAAAAAATTATATAGTTTTATCATGATATAAAATATGAAAGTATAAATTTCATATATAAAATTTCATATATAAAAATTATAAAAAACCATAAATTATTATTTCAGCCTTTTGTTATTCTTATTTTTTAATGATTTTGAGCAATAGAAAATTAATTCTTGTTACTCAAGTATATAAGAACGAATAAGCAATCGAATAATTGGAGAATTAAATGCGATAGAATATTATAATATAATAGCATAATTACCGCTTTGAAAACAAACGGCTCAAGATTTGTCTGTGATGAAAAGGATTGCAGAAATAATGCTTTTACGAATGGTTCTGATTTTGTAGCGTTGGATGTTTTGATTAATTTTTGCTTATGATAATGGAATGCAAAAGGAAATGCATCGTTTAAATTCATTGGTTTCTTCAAATCAAAGAGAGATTCCAATGAACCGAACGCGTCTTTTTTTAGACACGACGTATTATCACAATATTCATCGTTTCGCTGAAGCTTAGAATAACTTTGTTTAAAACTTTGTCCTTTCGAATTGTGAATGCTCTTTGCTTTGGTCGGAAAACATTCATGCGTATCAGAATAATTTTGCAGAGAATTTTTTGCACGCGGCCGTCGTTTCTGCATAATACACAAACAACTTTTATTGTACATAAACATTTTTTAAATATTTTATTTTACAATATTTACAATCTTTTGTATCAACGTAATTTTCTATAATTTTCTATAATTAAAATATTATGTATCATATATAATAATAATTTAATAAATACCAGAACACATAAACATATAATTATTATATTAATATGTATTATATGTATTCATAATATATTATGTTATAATAATAATTAAAATATTTAATTATCTTAATATCATTATTTAATAGATAAAACATTTTTTAGTTTTTTTTCAACAGACTAACTAATTTTAAACATCCAAAAAGAAGTATGTGTAATTATATAATAATTGATGTATAAATAATAAATTAGATGTTATATATACGGTTTCCTAAAAGATTAATCATGAAATATGTGTACCGTTTAAAAGGAAAAGAATATTTTATTTGGAAATATTAATTTTTACCTTCATATTTTTACCTTCGAAATACTGCATCGCGTTCTTTGCTTGAGCCAGCAAAATGTATAAGTGATATATGCGTAGCGTGAATATAACCTGCGATTTCTTTGTTATTTCTTAATAATATAGAGTTACTTTATATCAAATTGTATATAGCAATTTGAATATAATGAAGAAATATTTTTGTGTAACTAACTAAAAAGATTGTATGTGTAATATAATGATACATTACATATATAATATACATATGAAAAGAAATTAAATATTTCATATAATGTCACTATTGAATATTTTGCTCACTTCAAAATATTTCGAAGTTCTTTTTATCAAATACGCAGTACGTATGTCAATTATTTTTATTTTATGTTATACATATATGTTTATTATATTTATATTTCCTCTACAGCGCAAAGTTGCACAAAATAATTGTTACATGTTGCAGCAATATTGCAGAGATTTTGCAGCGATATATTGCTGCAAATTCTATGCTGTATGTATGTATTACGGGAGTTATATATGTATATTATATTTATTTATATAAAATTTATTATATTTATTTATATATGTTATGTATGTTTTATTTTATGTATGTGTGTTATGTATACAATTATAATTATTGTAATACATAGGCATGCTTGTAATACAAATGCTTGTAATACAAATAATTTTTATAAAGTAAAAAATACATTACATATTCAAAGAAATTGGCTTATTTAATTTAACCAGCGCATGCTGAAGATTTTGTGAATCTTTATAAACATTAGATACATTTGTAGCGTAATGTCAATCAATAATTATATAATTATTGCGTTAAGAATCATAATTAATTAAGAATTAAAAAAATTAGGTCTGTTCGCGTCGCTTGAATTTTTATACTCAGTTTTATACTCATCTTCTATATTCTCTCCCTTCAACGCTTGAATATATATTTATCTCACTTTAAATACAAAAATTTTGGGAAATTTCAAGCAACGCAAACAAAACTAAGCTTTTACCGACAGTAGAGGAGAAAAGAATAAATGTAATAATGTCGGTCCCTAAATACAGAGGTGCTAATGTCTTAATTCTAAACATGGCGCAAATCATATGATACATTACAAGAAGGAAGATTGTGTATAGTGTGTATCTAGTCAATATAGTCATATATATA